TTCTCTGGACAGATGTACTGATGCCCCTTCTGCGTGCTCAGATCCCTAGCACTGAGATAAATTATGATGGGTTCTTGGCTTCCTCCACTGAAAATGTTTTCAGCTGTCAGAGATATCTGTTTCTTGTTATTGGTTTTGGTGCTCTTGAAAGAAAGACTAAAACACTGACTTGTCTATCCTGTTATAAATGAAGAGTATTCTCCAGTAGAATCCCCAATGGATGAGTGATGTATCTCCTTGGGCCTAGGAACTGTTATAGAAACTGTGTAGGTATTTGGTTCTCCAAAATACTTCTAGACAGTAAACGTTTGTTTTCCACAAAGCTTCTAGCAACATGCCAGCTACTAGTCAATTTATTTATGTAAGCTTAGAAAGTTAAAGATGAATAAAAATGAGGCATAAGTAGTTACCCAACACTACTGAAAGTAATGAGAATTAGGTACACAAATGTATTTTCCTACCTGGCCATGGATTCTGGCAAATAAAGGAGATAGCCCAGCTGATTAAAAGAATCTCCCCCACTTCTTTTACTAGTTTTGGGACAATTTCTTAAATCTCATCCCAGAAACAGTCACCTTCCAGAAAACTAGCTGCTTGCAAACACCAGTGAGATGATTGGAGCCTGCTCCATCTGATGAGCAAGCTCCCACCAAACACTTTGTATGCCACCATCACCTTCCAGCAAAGCTGAAGCCAAAGCAAATCCCACAGAGCAGATGTGGGGGTGTTGGAGGGTTCCTTCTCCCAGCTCTCATGGAGAGCAGGCAGGGCTGGTCCAGATTCTTTGGAACTGGCGGCACGTGATGGGGTCCTGGCAATGTTGTAACAGGGCTGAAAAGGTGGGTAGGACGTGGCTCACAGCCTCTTACTGCCACAGTATAACATGGTAGCTGTACAAATAAAAATCTAACGCACAAGATTTTTTTCCTACATATTTGTTTGCAGCCTTAAATATATCAGGAATTTCAAATCTAGTGTTACCAGGTTGAGCAAGAAAGGAGGCTCTGTGTGTGCTGCATTACTTTACAAGAAGAGAAATGAAGGACTACATTTTTAACAGGGATCTCTTTACATTGAAGTATTTCTGTGATATTTGAATTAACAGGTGCTAAGAATCAAGCAAACAAAAATTCTGATGTTTAAGCAGCCTGACTAAAGTGTCTCTTTTCACTTGATCGTTTTTAAGTCCTGTTTCTTGTGATTTTGTATGGGTAAGTGGCTCTTCAGGGAGGTCTGGAACATGGTTTGAACTGGTTGCAGTTAGCTGGTGAGAAGCATGGGCACAAGAGAGTTGTGTAAGCTCCTTCCTCTAACTTTGATTACTTAATCCTTTATATTAAAGGCTCACAAGACTGGGATTCAGAGTTCTCATTAATCATCACCAATGGACATCACAGATGTCTTAATCCCACTAGTTCTTCATTTACTGTTATGTTTACAGAGCAGAATTGACCTAAATTACCACAGGAATACAACAAAAATAGTTTCACTTTCCTTTCCCTTGGAGACACATCACCTTCCCAGTACAGTTACTATTGCTCAGTACCCCCAGCTTCTTTGGAGAACATAAGTGCTGTTTGTTACAGGCGACACAAGTGACAGAGGGGCTCACAGTCACACATAGAAGGACCGTGTTCAGATCCTACAAAGTGACCTTGTTAGGTCATTTAGCTTAATTGCTGCAAATCCCTAACTTGGTGCCACCACTCAAGCTCACTTAAATTTAGTCGTATTGGTTTCATTTAAGCTGATCATTTATCACACTAAACATTCTGAACTGGAATTTACAGAGATAGTTTACAACTGAAACTAAGTACATTTTTAGATGACTGATAATAACAGCTAAAAAAATTTTAGAAAGAAAGCCAAGTGCAACATCCCCCTAAGATTTAATACTAAAAGCTGGTTTTCCATCTTCATTCTGCTACAAATCAAAATAGACTATATTTGCATTGGGCAAAATTAAACTAAGTGAGACATTATATATAGCATATGGTACCAGAGATGCTAAAACAAACCTTTGCTACCTGAAATACAAAATAAAAATATATTTAAACCTGGATCACGACCAGCTCACTTTGTGGATGCCAAAATATTTCTCAATCACACACTTTTAGTTTAATTAATAGCAATATATGTAAAATTCTTTGGTCCAGCATACAATTCATACCAGAATTTGAAAAAATACTCTCCATATTGTATAAAGCCAGTATAAATACATTTGGTAATGAAGTCAGATTTTGTGAGAACATTTTCAAGTGAATTAGATAATTTTGTCAAACTATTTAAATGTCTTAGCAAACCATTTGGGAAAATTGCTGCACTTGGTATTGACTTTGGCAAAGTCTGGTATAGCATAGGGCTTTTTTTAAGGGAAAAAAAAAAGCCTTTAAATCTGAATCTTATGTCAAACTTGAGCAGACTATTTGTACTCTGCCTCATGTAGATTTTGGCATCTTGCATATTTGATGACTCAGTAATTAGATTTCTTGATAGTAATCATTTGGTTCATTCCTCAGACATAAACTATGCTTTCCAGTCCTGTCATCAGACTGATTCACAGGACAGAAATTCTTCACATTTACTTAAAACATGAATGCTGAGACAGATGACAAATGAGGCAAAACATCTTCAGTGTGCCAGAAAGCTGGAGCATTTAATATGAAGAAAGGTTGTGTGAGGTGTTTCTTTCCTCTTGTAAACCATATATATGTTATATGAGCAATGGCATATGGCATAGGAAGTGGCAAAGCTGGAACAGTTCTATAATTCAGTGGCTCCAGCATTAGATTGATTATTAAGTGATTTTGCCCAGTGAAATGGATGAATGTGTCAAACAAAGCTGTGCTAAATGAAATTCAAGGACTGTTAGTTCACACTAAGTTTCTGTACTTGCAATTAAAATGTCATGTATGGGCTTTATTTCCAGCAGTCATTAATAATGTAGGCATAAACAATTAAAATACAGCAAAAAGATCTTGGACTGAGCGTGACAATGCTGAAGACAGATTATTTTGAGTTTAGAAAACGGTATTTGAAATGCTGAAAAATTCCAAGTAATTATGTCATGAAACTAGACACCCTGTTATAAAATAACTATTCAAAAATACATTCCACTCTCCATTCCCTGATGTTTGGTTCATGGCTAGACATCTGTTATCATCTCACTCTTAGATTTTGTCATAGGATATTAACTATGGTGTTTCTGCAAAGGCTTTACATGACTGAAGAATATAAGCACTGAGATAATAAATCAGCACAGTTATCTCCTCTGAGAAACAACACCCATTTCAGTAGAACTGGAAACTGCAGAGACAATTCTGATGTAAACTTTGGCCTATGCAAATCCTCAAAATGTCTGTAGAAGGAGCTCAGGAGGAGCTCAGTCTGCTCAGCACAGTGTTTCTGGGGATACAGAAGTGCTGTACTCTGGAATAGAGACATGAGGGGCTGCAAGAACTCATCTGGGAGCTTCAGGCTTCTCAAACTGGAAAACTGTCTTGCCCTCATTCTGGTCAAGTCTTTGCTCTTACTTCTTATCAACAGTACCAAAACATGAAGTCCCCTAGAAACAAATCCACCCTACTGACAGCCTTACTATCATTCCCATGGTATATCCTTAGTTTCTTTAATTCTTTTTTGGGATTTTTTTCTTTGACTCCCCTGGAAAGGCCATCTAGAACCAACTGAAAGAGGAACCAGCTGAGCAGTGCACTGGGCAGCAGCAAGAGGAAGAGACTCTACTCTCCAGGGCTGAAATAGTCCTGTTCTGC